TTCACATTACTGTTTGGATTTTTGGAGGACCTTTAAAAGTGATGAAAATGATGTAATCCCTGAAGGCATGTAAATAATTATAATTTTGATTGACTATTTTTTAAATAAATAGGATCAGTTACACCCCAAAAAAACTAAATTGATATTTAAGTACTCACATAAATTGTAAAATTTAAACAGTTCAAAGTGGGCTTTGGCAGTTCAAATTATTGTTTACCTATACAGGGTGATTCACAAAAAAAGGTTATATTTTACCTGCAAATTCTATAGTGGAAAATGTTAAAATTTGGCTTAACTAATGTGATTTCTCGTAGAATATACAATTTGAATTTGGCTTACCTTTCCATTCTTGGTGCCAGTGCTTAGAGTAGATGCAGTGTTTTGTTCTTGTTCATTTAGTCTTAATTTAAATTTACTTCTAGCATGTAGTTTTACTGTTACCTTCGCCGGTGTAAAGCTGGTACCTGCTAACTGCATCCTTCTTTCACTTGCCACTCCATCTTTGAGACAATCTAACAACAAATTCAAATAAATATTAGAATCTGTCTTAATTATTATTTTCTTTAAACCTCTTCTTAAAAAAGTTCTGTGTCTTTCCCAAGCTTGACGAATATATTTTCTGGAAACGGAGGATCCCACCGCTGTCACCAAATGTAACAACCGACTAGCCTAAGGACCATTTGTAACTACTGATAGGTCCTTAGCTACTGTTTTTAATATACTATTAAGGATTAAGGCAGCACTGTCACTAGCCAAAGGGTCCTGTAGTCCAGCAGAAACATCCATTTACCAGTAGAAAATAAAAATAAAAAAATTAAATTAAATTAAATTAAATGAACAAAAATTATCCCTTAATAGCATAGTCGAGCGGTTCTTGGCAATTAGTTTTAGACTCTTTTATTCCTAAGGGAATAGAAACGTCGAGACTTCTCGAATGCTCAGAATATTTGCCTGGTTTTGGAAGGGGGAGGAGAGATTAATAATAAGTATTAAAAAATTAACAAATGTATATTTAAAATAAGTACATAAGTGACTAGTATTCTAAAGAATAAATAACTCAAATTATAATTAGGGAATAAACTGGCACTATTTGATATCCAAACTTTTAATAAAGATTTATGACACTAGATGAACACTTAATTGAACTATACAGTTTGAACTTATTTACAATTGTAAATAACACTAGAAAACTTAAACTACATAATAATATAAAAATATGTATAAGATAAATATGATAATCGGGACGAAAATCTAAAATTGGCATTTATATGTAAATCAATTAATTATTATTAAACATAACACTTTAAAAATAAGTTAAAGATATTTATCCATAATTCCCAAATCGCTGCACAAAAACTTTACTGTACACACTTCTTTGTTTTGGGACTTAAGAGTCCCAAAAAAGAGAGCTCCCACCCTCGGCGAAAGTTCTGGATCTTCGTCCGTACTGGAGAGTCTTTTCTTTCTCTTGTCTGTATATACAAACCCAAAATGTACGTGATAGTTGTATTTTTAAAAATTTCACGCTCTACCTTGAATTCTCTAGTTCAATTTAAAGCATTAACTAAAGTAATATCATAAATATTTGTTTTATTTCCATACGTAGGTGGTTTCTTTTGAATTTTTAATTTAAAACATTATAAATACTTTTTTAGAATTTTTAGTAAATTATTTATATTTTCCAATAATATTGCCAATTATTACAGCAAGGCAAACTGGACTAATGGATAACATAACATAACCGCGTATATATCTGTTGTAACACCTAATGTCTCTTGAGAACGCAACTGAGTTTCGAGTGTAATTTTCTATAGTTTGTTGTAAAAAATAGATTAAGGAGTTCTCTTTCGTACACTTCAGTCAGCAACTCGTCCCTAGCACACCTGTTCTTCAACTTTTCTAATACCTTTTTATAATTTTCCTTACATGGAGGGAAACTTTACACTATATAGTCGTGCTGCAGGTCCCAGGAAGAGTACCATAACCTAAATAGAGTAAATAATCTTCGGTTGGGATATCATTATCATCATGAATGTTTTTTGAACTGACCCCAAAAGCCAATCCAATTTTCGACTTTACGTTCGAATCTTGTAAATTCAAGCTTTGGTTCTATTTTTGTTGTGGTAACTGACCTCTCTTTTTTGTACTTTGTATAGTTCAACGGATGTCCATTCCTTTTGGTAGTCTTCATCACTTATATCACTACATAGTAGTGATTCTCGTATATTCTCGTCCAATAAGAAAATTCTCTTACTCTTATATTCTAGTGGATTTATTTTAACTGAGCCCTCTTTCTCACGGCCGCTATAATGTTATTAATTGGAGAATAAGATCTTTTATTAAACGAAAATACAAAATATAATAACTCTGACAAATAAAAATATATCTGACACTACACCTATGAATCCTAGTCTAAACTGTAATAGAATCGTAGGGATCAATTATTTAGTTATTAAATTCGGTCATTTTTCTAAACAATCATTTAAAGAAACGTTATTATTGTCTTTGGCAAAGGCGTCAAAAACTAGCCTGACATTAGCAACACTAAACTCTTTAATTACTGCATGATGAAGTAAGTAATGAGAAATATCGGAACCGTCTTTAATTTTTTGTAATACTTAACTGTTCCCGTTCTCTGACAATATTCTTATAAATATTAAATCTATTTTGACTAACAAGTTTATTTGTCGCCGATAACATGTGCTTAACTGTCTTAAAATTGCTTAAGATATTGGGATGACCCTCAATATACAGGATATTACCTTTATTAACAGTTATATTGTCTATGAAAGTTTGCATTACTTCAGATTGTAACTTTTCTTTACTTTTAATCTCAGAAGTACCCTAATAGCTAACATTTTGAAAATTCAAAAATCTGTATTGGATCTGGAGCTCAGAAATGTATAACTAAAGAAAATATACTTTAATGCTTTATTTCTCCATAACTGTCTACCCGAGATGTGTGCAAATTGCAAACAAATCATTAATAACCCTTTCTATGATCCCAGTGTGAAGATGACCAATAACGGAAAGAACCCAAAATAGAGGAGCCTCTCAAAAAGCATGTCGTTTCAGTTTAAAGTCTAGATTAATCGTTTGAAATAAGTATTTCTGCTTTAGAACAGCCAGTTAAAAAATAAAAGTTACATAGAATACTTGAAAAGAAAAAATATAATTATTTTTGACTTAGAACCGAATTTCTAAAACATAGCTTTACTTTTAGGGGCAGACGTCATTAATCATCTTCTCAGTGGGATCATAGAAAGGATTGATTATGATTTGTTTGCAATTTGTATACATCTGGGATAGACTATTAACAGGGAAACACAGCATTACAGTAAATATTTTATTTAGTTATACCTTTCTGAGCTCTAGTTCCATTAGATATTTATGGAGTTAAGAATTTTTAGATATTGGGTATCCTTCTGAGGTTAAAAGAAAAGAAAAGTTACAATCTGAAGTAATGCAGAATTATGCAGATAATATAGCTGTTAGTAAGCATCTTTCGTTTATTGAGGGTCATCAGAATATGTTAAGTGATTTTGATATAGCTAAGCAAAGGTTGGTATAGTATTGTTTTCAAAGAATGGGAACAGATAATTAATATAGAAGAAATTAAATATTTCTCATTTCTTACCACAACTTGTAATAATTAAAGAAACCTAATGTTACTATGAGGTCAGCCTATTTTTTGACTCCTCTGCCAAAGATAATAATAACGTTTCTTTAAACGATTGTTTAGACTAGGTTCCATAGGTGATGTGTCAGATACATTTTTAATTGTCAGAGTTAAATTTTGTATTTCCGGTATATAAAAGATCCATTTCTTCAAGCATGCTTGGTTGTCAGAGACTCGAACAATAGCTCTGAAAGTCTAAAACTAACACCACTACATATATTCATTTAAGACTATAACTTACCGATAAAAACAAAGATAGCCATGCCTCTGAATAAAATCCAAACTGTCAATTAAAAAAGATGAAGAATTTTAAACTTCGATATGCATGTTTTTTCCATCGCCTATTTTAGAAACATCTTTTTTGTTTTGTTTTATCTAATGATATATCTACAAATTTACTAATATCTAAGGCTACAAAAGGTCATATTAGACAGATGTTTAAGGGTGAGGCCACTGGTCATAAGGCAAAATTTTCCAGGAAAACTTACGAGTTAGATGATTTTGTTCCTTCAAAATATTTACCCTTATATCGCTAATATTTGTAAAGCAAATATTAAACAAATGGGTCAAGGAGTATAAGAAGAAAGTTCAATTTAATTCTGCTGCAGAAGTGCAGACATCTACAGCTGTTTGGTGACGCACTGGAATACATTCCTTGACGCATAGGTTTTCATTGAGTATGCCTCTCAAATTTTTAAATTTCTTATACTGACTTCTGTATGACGAGCTAGAGAAAATAAACTGTTAGAAAGATAGCAATAAAAAATTAAATGGACATCTGGACGTGGTTAAACGTCTCTCGCTCTAATCTATGGTTGGTTTATGGTTACCTTAAATTATGTGTCAACCAATAAGAGTCTTTGATAATAATTTAACTCAGTTCCATTAAAGTAATGTACCTATTTATGGTGGGTGAGGTTTTCCGGGTTTTCCTCACCTGTAAGTCAAATGGCACCATCAATCATTTTTAAGTCGCCCCGGAGCGCCACGGCAAATAATAATAATAGCCGTCCCTTCCTCTACACAAGTCGTTCAGTCGACTTCAGGGGTTGAAATTCACTCGTAAGGGGGTGAATTAGGGAGAGTATTATTATTATTATTATTATTAATATTATTATTATTATTATTATTATTATTATTATTATTATTATTATTATTATTATTATTATTATTATTATTATTATTATTATTATTATTATTATTATTATTATTAGTATTATTATTATTATTATTATTATTATTATTATTATTATTATTATTATTATTATTAATAATGTTGTGAATTTTATAATGTATTTAAACAATTATTTTTACTTTGCAGGATATGGAAACATCTATCCAAGAACTCCAGAAGGCAAAATTGCCACTATAGTTTACGCCATAATAGGGATGCCACTGTTTCTTCTTTACCTTTCCAATATTGGAGACATTATGGCCAGATCGTTTAAATGGATATATGCTAAGTGCTGCCTTTGTAGGTGTTGTCCAGGTGTCGCTAAAAGAAGGGCGATCAGGAAAATAAGACGAGAGCAAAAAATGCAAGCGGATTATGACAGCGACGAGGAAGCAAGTGAAATATCTAGTGAAAGTATTGAAGTAAGTGCAAAAGTTTTGAATATTTATTTGTCGCAGTCCAGATGCAAAATATGAAATCTTCGCTAAACCTGGCAGATTTTAAAAGAAGGTGTAATGAATCTATTTCATTAGTATTAAACTATTTCTTTTAAGAATAAAATATTTGATCCAGTTGTCCACGAAATCACTGTCTTCTAAAGTACCCCATCTACGATATACCTTTTCTGTGGTGGGTATTTAGAAAAGAGACACTGTGAAAGCAAAGGGATGTCTGAAATGATACAAAAATATGTCTAGGAATTAATACCAACCTCTCAATAATATAAGATGATTATTTAAAATTAAAGATAAAAAATTAAACTGTAAATGTTTTTTCTTTCTTTTATTTTAAGTATAACATTTACTCGAAACAAGTGTACATAGAACAAATCGATATTTTTACTTTATTAATTGCCTTTATAATTATGAATATTATTAATGTTATTATTATTATGAACGATATAATACATCAACCATTGAAAATCATCTTTTGCTCCAACAGACGCCAATCAACACAAAATGTTATCTGACAACACTCCATATACTGTAGTGTTTTCACTTAATCCCGATTGAAATTAAAAATTTCAATTCATCACCAGAGTAATTCATGAATTATTTATGCGAAACGTCAATGTGAAGTTTGCCATATAAAAGTCGAAAAATGGACAAAAATCGTTCTTGTTGTTCAAATATATATTTAAATACAGAATCGACATCATCCTATGAAAAAAAGTAAATGTTTGAAAAAGTTCTGCTTATATTGTTAAATAATCTTTCCAAATACCACCTTTTGTAGTATTACCCTTGACAATTTCGTCTGCCGAATGTTTCACGTAAATTTTTCACCCCCTTTTCGTTATTAATTATTCAGATATCGGAACACTTTTCGTTGTTTCGAGGCCTGATGAATAAATCTAGTAGCTAAACATTTTTATTAAAAACGTTTTATGTGGTACTGATTCGATGCCTCATTTATTCTTTAAATAAATATAATTAATTTTGAAATGGTTCATTATTTTATAAAAATATGATTTTTTTATTAATAAATATCAAATGGGCTATCTGGACAATAGCATTTTACTTACAAGCGATTAACCCCGAAACTACAAACCATATTTCCAATATCCGCAAATATCGGTATGAATGCATAATATTATGGCCGAACAAACTAAAAAACAGAAATCAAGAACGGCTGAAATTCGCACACGAATTGTCAAAAACAAGCCGAAGTCGATACAGTAATCCATCAACTACCAATTGCACTAAAACAAAAAAAAAGGATTTTGCAGTATTTGTGTTTCCTCTGTGTTAGTCCCCTAAATGGATTTTTCAAAATCACCTTCTATTTGAATTAGTAACGAATAAACAGGGTTGGAATAAGTCTTATATTTCATAAAAAGTTTTATACGTTTTACGCGATAAAAGAAAACGTAACGAATCTCACATTTTACACAAATCATTTTATTAAAAAAAATTGAGCCTAATATAAAAAAATATTTAGAAATTACTTTTATTTTTAAAAAATAAACAAAAATTTAATTTTTAATGTGAAATAGTTTTTCTTTTGGATTTTTCGATAACCTTTTATAATATTCAGAAATCTCGAGCCGTGGAAACATACTATAAAAAATGTAATTTAAAAAAAATCCGTTTATGTAGGATCCGAATCAACAACCTACAGAATTTCATCCCAAAAAGCACAACCGTGCAGCAATGCAATACCAACTAATTTTAATATGCTTTCATTACCAATTGGTTAAAAATTCCTAGACAAGGAACATTAGAACATCCACACATACCTTAGAATTAAAATTCGGCCCTGCATGATTTCGGTTTTGGTTCAGACGTGAAGTAAGACTTTTTGCCATTAGAAGGTCACTGTTAGTGTAGTTGCTTTCCTATTTTGTGAGGTTCTGTTATTTTTAAACATTAATAAATCAACACGTAATGAAGCAAATTTCAAAATTTTTTGCACGGTTAAATGGAGAATAAAACCACCTTTCAAATGAGCTATCACTCACCACCCCATGCTATTTAAATTTTTCGAAAGGGTTGCTACCCTCCAGTAAGGGATGAAATTAAGGGTAAAATAATCATGCAAAAATGTACATTGTAGAAATCAAAAATCGACCTGTCTCGGCGATTTTCCTAACAAGACCTCTGTAACAAGTTAGTTAGGGGGGTAAGACATGATGCTCACTGTATAGCTCGTTGCGTTGTGGATTTGTTTTTACTTCTGAGGTAAGTTGATTGGATATTTAATCGATTATTTAATTAAGGATATGTATATTCGAATTTGTATAATTTTTGCTTGAAAAAGAATCCCGCGCTTTTTTTTTGTACAAAATGATTTTCCGTCGAATGTCGTACATTTTGGATTTATTGTAGTACTTGACCTTGACCTTCAGACTACTTAAATTATAAGGCTCTTTTGTAGGTGTTAGGGTGTTAAGTTTAGTGGTCATTGAAAATCTTGACACATACAGGGCGGTGCGGAATTATATGTTTTTAAAATTTCGTGAAATGGTAATTTGAAATAAACAGTCAGAAATAAAATGTTAGAGTACCGTTGTTATTGTTGTATTAAAAAATCCTATAAATTGTGTATACAGGATTATTCCAAATATGATTAAGGATAGACATATTTTATAAAAAATTCAAAAAACCATTAATTTTTAATAGTTACGATATATTTATACAATTTTTTTTTTAGCAGTCAACAATTATAATTAGTTTCATTAGAAAAATATTACGCCATTTTCCATTTTGAAAAATGGTTTATCGGCAGAATAATAGAAGTTAGGCCTAACCATTTTTTAAGTTTTTACAAGATTGCCTTAATTATCTGGATTGGCCAAAAAAGAAGATGTAGCTGTGGTGGACATAAAATATATATTTTTTGGACCCATTGACATGATTGGTTCTTGACCTTTTCAAATCATCAAAGAAGTGCGACATAGCATTTGTAAAGAGTACAAAAATTTAAAACGTGTTGGCTTGTGAAATATTTTTATAAGTTCTTAATTTTTTAAGTAAGAATATTTTTTTGTTATATGGTTGACATTTTCCTTGTTTGTTTTATCTTAGTGATTGTCTTGCTGAAAATAGTTTGTATATTTAAACTATTTGAAACGACAAAATAAATAATTTAAATATACAAAATGGCTTTAATTCTGTTCCAAAACATTCAAAAATACTCAGAATGCTCCCAATGCACTCACAATACACTTACAATACACTCCCAGTGCACTCACAATACACTCCCAATACACTCCCAACTCACTCCCAATGCACTCCCAATGTACAACACACTCCCATTGAAACTAACCCCTCACATTTAACCCTAAGTACTCAAAATAGCCTTGCCAAGTTCCATCAAAATCGAAAAAGGAATTTCTGATATTTTAATGAAAAACTTTGCAAGATTTTTCGCTTTACCTACTGTTTTTTCCTTAACCCTTTGTTAGTGTACCACAAAAAAATGCATAAGAGGTGTTCTGGAGTATATCATACCCCAAAAAGAAAATTCAAATAAAATGCAGATGTTTTAAAATTTCCTCATTTTAAATGTTAAATATATTATTTTAGTTATTCATAATGTCGAGTAAAACAAAAAAATATAATAATAAGAAAAATATGAGTAACATAAGTTTTTATTTTTAACATTTAACAAACATCATGGAACATCAATTCTGCCTTGCAAAAAAAGAAGAGCAACTATATTTTAAATACAAAAACTACAAAACCAAGAATAACAATACTCTAACTAAAAATTGTTTTTGACAAATTTCTAAAAAATATGGTACAACTTGAATCAAACCAGTATCAGTAGAATTCAAAAAGTTATGGGGCCTCGAATGTGACACAACTTTCACAGCTGAACAACGCATTCTCTATGCACAATGGGACGTCACACTGCATGCAAACATAAAATGTCTTTTTATCCTTGTTTCTTGGATAAACTGAACATCTGCCACTTGTATTACGTCGTTTAGCAACAGGTTCATGACGATCAGCTTGCTGGGCGTCTTGCAGTCCTCTACGTAAACAGGGGATTTGTCTTCGCTGACCTCTGAACTCTGATATCAACTGCATGCCAAGGTCTTTCAAAAATGCTCGTTTTTTCAAGTTGTGATTTTTTGTATTTGCTTTGTATATTACCTGAGCATTTACTCCGGCAGTATTAAAAAAAAAAAAAATAGAGTAGGGGGCCAGCGGCGACTGTTTCTAGCTACACTATAATTAGCAGATAGTTCATCCAAGGTATCAAGAATTATAAAAATCGATGATTTCTGGTAATTATTTATCACCAGATTCTGGAACAATCTTATTGTCGTGATGCAAAGTTGAAAACAGAATGACATTTTTAGATTTCTTTGGAACATATGACAACGCTGTAATATCTTCTTTGAAGGCAAACACTGAACCAGCTGATTGTCTATTGCATACGTTTAGGAGACCTATAGGTCTTTCACGCTTATTTTTCTTGACTATCCCAAACGATGTAAGCTGGTGAGTTTTGAGAAGATTGTTCACCAATGGGTAGCTGGTAAACCAATTGTCGAAAGTAATGTTTCGTTTTTTGCCCGACACTGGCTCAATAAGACGTTCAACTATTTTTGTGGGGTGTTACTCATTTGAAAGGGACCATCTGGTTGTTTTCCAACGTACACCTCCATGTTAAGACAGTAAGACGTTTTCGCGTCAACAAGAGCAAACACTTTTAGCCCATATTTAGCAGGCTTATTGGGGATGTATTGAAGGAACGACACACGGCCTCTGAATGGTTCCAACTTTTCATCAATAGTAAGGTTTTCACCCGGTATGTAATGCAATTTACAGTTTTCAACGAAATGTTCGAATACGCCTCGAATTTATCAATCTGTTTTCGTTCAGCTCTATTATTGATAATATCAAATCGCAGTGACTGTAGAAAAATATAGTACCTTTGTTTTGACATTGTTGTACAAAACAAATCAATC